AGTGGGGGACACCAGAGCCACACTGGGGGGACACCAGGTCTGAGGACACAAACTGCTCCTGGCACAGGGCCCTGCCAGGCTCCCCAAGCCCCAGCCAGAGCAGGAGCCCCAAGCACCACGGCTCAGCTTTAACCCACGAAACGTGACAGTTTTCGGGGAGGTAATAAATTAACTAAACTGCCAGCTCGGTTTGTTGGGGGGTTGTTTTAGTTCTTTCCCTGGTTTCTGGGCCCGTGGCTGGGCCGCGGCGGGTCAGCCCGGGGGGGCTGCAGGGCAAAAAAAAACCAGGTGAGCTGCTGTGGGCCTGGGGCCTGTGCTCTATTCGTACACATCAAGAAGACAACCACGTCACCCTCCATCGAAACTAGTGCATGCAAAGAGCTCTTCCCTACCACACACCCCACGGCTATGCAGGAGAGAGGAGAGAAACTAGTGAACTGACATCGCCTAGAGGGAAATTAGTATCAACACCTTCACCTCGGAAGCTAAACCAGTGCTTTGTATTCAGTTCTTTTGGCAATCATACCAACGTTGCCGTCCTTTGTTTTTTTTTTAATTAACACATCACACCATGAAGAAAATGCAAATAAAAGCAGCATGCAGGCGAAAAGGAAAGCTGCGAGTGAGGAGGGAAACAAAACCCATGGCAGCAGGGGCAGTTCTGACTGGCTCGATCACCAAGAGGAGACACAGCAGGTTAAATGTAAGGGGGGAGGGGGGGGTTATTTTTTTTTCTCTTTTTTTTTTTTACTTTTGCACCACCCTTTGTCCTCGATGCGTTACACCAACGGTTACAGAAAGCAATCACAAAGGAGCTCGCTGTTCTACAATGGTCAGGGATGGATGGGATGGCTCCTGCACATGCTTCCACCAGAGAGAAAAGAAAGAAAAAGTGAAACTCAAATAAAGTTCCTTTCCACGTAAGGCACAGGACAAAATAAACCCCGTTCACAGACTCAAGGCGAGGATGAGTTTTTCCTGGCTCCTCTGCTGATGCATCTAGAGGATGAGTCGAGCACGTGATCCGTGACAGAAAATCCCACCGGTGTACCAAAGGAATTGTTAACTCTGACTTTTATTCTTACACAATTGGCAGAGTAGAGTTGAGGAGGACTGCTCTACGTGGTGCTGTCGGGAGGAACGGGACTATCATACAACCAAACCAGAGTGGGGAGCTCAGCAGGGACCTTAAAAAAAAAAACAAAACAACAAACCCCCCCCACCCCACCCCCCAAAAGAAAAAAAAAAAATCAAACCCAAAACAAACCCCAAGAATGAAGAGATGATTTTTCCTATCCATGTCGTTGAGGAAAGGATAGCAGGAGGGCCGTCCTGAACGGCACGGCCCAGGGGAGGCAGGGGGGTGTTAGGAGGAGGAAGGGGACACTGGTTTGGGTTAAAAACGGGCAGAGTGGTTTGTTTCGCAGCGAGAAAAAAGGGGCGGCGGATGGCGATTGGTGAGAGAGGGGGGGCTTCAGCAGCACTTGCTCTTCCAGCCCGTCACCCCACCTCCACTGCTGATATCTACATTTTCACTGTTGGGCTCTTTTACAGGGGTCTGCAAGGAAAACAAGTGAGAAGAGTTAGAGGGGTCTGGAGGTGTCCTGGAGGCAGAGCTGGAGAGCCAGCGAGCGGCAGCTCATCGCCCCTCTCCTCAGCACTCAGCTGGGACAAAGGGCCCCACAGAGATCCAGGGGATCCCCTCCCTCCCCCCAGTGAGAGCACGACAAAACAATTTAAGGGTTTGGTTTTAAATAAACAACTCAAAAACTGGAAAAAATAAAAAAACAACAACTTTTGAACTTGGAACACCCCAAAACTATTTCTAGGCCCTGCTCTGAGCGCTGGCGCTCGGGCGTTGGTGGAGTGAGTAAATCACAGTGGGCAACCAACACAAGCCCCAGGGAAATTATGTGAACTAATGACCTTAAAAACCCACAGAGCAATTTAGGGATAAAGAGGGGTTGTTCAGAAGCAGCTGCCTCCCAGCTAACTGAGGCCACCAGCTCCCCAGCGAACGGGCTTGTCTGTGTCATGGGACGTTCCCTGGGCTGGGCTGAAGAGAATCAAAGCTGGGTGGTTTGGGTCAGATGCAAACATCTCCTTGGAGCTGTCTGGGAACTCAGCTCAACGCTCAGTTTCATCTCCAGATTCCTTTTCTCATTCTCTTTGCTTGGCAGAAGCAACTCCCCCATCCCACCCTCTTCTACACTGAGGCTCCAAATAAAAATGTCAAGGTCAGAAGGGGCAGTGAGAGTCACCAGCCTGGTGTCCTCACCAGAGCTCAGGGATTTTCACCCCCTTTCTCACACAAAGCTTGTGAAAAACTGATTAAGAAACAGAATTACAACTGCCAAATGGCCAGGGTTGAGCAGAGGTGTGTTTAAAAGGGCTGCAGAAAGCTCCAGCACTGACCCTGCACTGAGTTTCTACCCAGTTAACCAGGATGACACCCTCGATGGTGTGCCATGCAGGAGAGCAGTGGGAGGCACTGCTGAAGGAGCCTGGGGCCAGCCCTGCTGCTCAGCTGGAGCTGAGCAACCCACGGCTCCTGAGCTCCCCAGAGCAGAGGCACGGCCTGATCCCAGGCAGGATGGTGCCAGAGCAGGGCTGCCAGTGTCAGCAGAGGCCTTGGCTATGGGAGCCCATCAGCTGATGGAACCTCAAACCCTGGGCTCAGTGTTGGGCCCCTCCAGCACTCCCAGAAGGCCCTTGAGGGGCTGGAGAGTGGCCAGAGAAGGGCAACGGAGCTGCTGGGGAAGGGTCTAGAGCCCAAGTGTGGGGAGGAGCAGCTGAGGGAGCTGGGGGTGCTGAGCCTGGAGCAAAGGAGGCTCAGGGGAGACCTTCTGGCTCTGCACAGCTCCTGACAGGAGCCTGGAGCCAGAGGGGGGTCGGGCTCTGCTCCCAAGGGACAAGGGACAGGACAAGAGGAAACAGCC